CCCTGAATCCAGCATCGGCACAAAAAGGTCTTTGGCATCATTATTGAGTGATGCCTCAAAAAGGCCAGAGCTTGGAAATGTTAATTTCTGGAGGATTCTGGGAATTGGAGTACCAAAAAAGGTGGGGGTTGGAAGGGGGAAAAATAATTATAACTTCCAGGCTCTAGATGTAGCAAGTATAATGGAAAAAGGCCTGCTTACCCAGAGCACCATAGCCTCAAAAGATGAAACAGAGGGAGAGGTTAAAAGAAAAAAACACAGTCCTAGGAGGACAGACAGAATTCAAACATTCCCTGTAGAAACACTGGGTTCTTGGTGAGTGGAAGAAATTAGCTGATGGAATTGAACTTTTCTGGAAAGATCAAAGATTCAAGACCCCTCTCTCAGGAAAGGGGTGGGCAGGCACGAAATGACGCTCATAGCAATAAAGTTCAGGAACTTTTGGTTCAGCGCCAAAACTCATAGAAGCACAGTCAATAAACAAGCCAGCTATGTCGATTCCTCCAATCCCCTTCAGGCTACTGTAACATTCACTGGGGCTCAACCCGTTCCCCGACCACTGGCTGATCTCCTTCATTTCCTCCCTCCCTAAGGTGCAATCCTCGAATACCATTCCATGAACAAACCACACACCTGGTTGTAATATTTCTTCTCTATATGATCAGGCAAGTTCCAGCCAGAGGCGCTCGTAGACTCATTGAAGAATAGTGTTGAAAGGGGCCTATAAGGCCATTGAGTCCAACCCCCAGCTTAGTGCAAGAATCCACATCAAAGCAGATCTGGCAGAGGACAGTCCCGTTTTCTCTTGAATGCCTCCAGCGTTGGAGTGCTTTCTCCCTCCGGAGATAACTGATTCCATTGTCGTACTGCTCCAACAGTTAACAATTTTTTTCCAGATATTCAGCCTAAATATTCAGCCTGTAACTTGAGCCCATTACTATGTGTCCTGCACTTTGCAGGGATTGAAAACAGATCCTGCCTCTCCTCTGGATGATTACCTTTCAGGTATCCAGAAAGTGTTATCCTACCTCCCCTCAGTTTTTTTTTCTCAAGGCTAAGCATGCCCAGTTCTTTCGGTCTTTCCTCATAAGGCTTGGTTTCCAGCCCCCAATCATCCTTGTTGCCCTCCTATGAACTTGCTCCGGTTTGTTGACATCCTTCTTAAAGTGTGGCGTCCAGAACTGGACATACGTAATACTAAAGGTGAGGCCTAACCAGTGCTGGATAGAGGGGGGCTAGCACCTCGCAGGATTTGGAGAATGTGCTTCTGTTAATGCATCTTTAAAAATTGCTTTTTTTTTGCAGCCATAGGGAAGAATAAGCACTAAGTGCTACTACATGAAAAGCTGGGATAAAACTGAGAATGGAAGAGAGGTTGTTCTACAGCTCCCAGAATCCTCCAGCCATCATAGGTAGTCATGATATTGGTTAGACGTCTCTCGCAATTGTAGTTAAAGATAAAAGCAACACAGAAGCTCTGGAAAAAGTGAGTGACCATGGCGGTTTCGATTTAAGATGGATAAAGATTCTCTGCGGTTGTCCAAAAGTAACCAGTGGAGGAGTGGAAACTGCTTACAACCCTGGTCTAAACTTTAGAGGAACTATCCAAGGTCCTGAACTTGTAAAGTTTGGACTAATACCCAGGCCAGATTCACTGTTCCTGTGACATCAGAGCTGGCACTTTCTCTTTAGTTGAACTCCCACCTCTGGGATCCCCAGGGGAAAACAAGAGTCTCAGGAGGAGCTGAGAGTACATTACTATCAGCAGCAAAAACAGGAAGGGGGAAAAATCCATTTTCTCCAACTGCCTGTGTTTATTGTTTAACAACATCCCATGTGTTTCAGAAGATATGGTTTCCTACAGGAGGGGTGGCTGATAAGGACTGTATGTGCTTGCTCAACATTGGGGGGAATGCACAGAATCCTTATCAGTTGGACCAATAGAGGATGCTCGTACTTTCTGAAACGTGTTGGGCATCACTAAACAGAGAAGCTCTAACATTTCAAGAATGCATGTGCATTGTTGTAGGTTTTTTTACACCCTATCTTTCTCTCTGTGTGTGTGTCTCCTGTTTTCTGCTAATTGGCTTCAGCATCTCCCATCCTTGCTGTGCTTCTGTTTCGCTCTAAAAACGATTTGGAATTATGCTCCATAATCTATGCCACAATATCAGCCTCGTGGGGACCACCAATAGCTTCATAACATTTAGTTTATTGATCCTTATGCTTGGCATGGTTATGATTCCATGTTGACTCAGAGTCTCCAAGCCTTTGAGATAAAGCCAATGAATTGCAGTAAAAACCCAGTTTTCACTCGGGTGATAAACCTGTATCTGGATTATATATGAGGGTTTATGCATGTGAAGACTCTTCTGTCTCCTTGTGTTCCCATGCAAGTGCCCTCAGATTTTATCCAGATCCGTCAACTGAGTGAGTAGGGCTTTTATGTCCACATAGGCATCTGCACATAGAAATCTAGCATGTCAGGATATAGAAATCTAGCATCTCTTCTCTCTGACATGCTAATTTTCCATGGGGATGAGGTTCACGATAGGTGCCTTCCTCTTCTTCCATCCCAGCCTGAGCCCATTACTGGTCCAAAGTGGCCTAAGTCCCAGCCTGAAGTCCAAAGCTGGGTCTTCTCTGGGGGCAATGTACAAGGAATGGCTAGTATGGCTGTTCAACTCAGGTTCACATATACAATCTCAACAGAAGTCAGTGCTTAAATGGGGAAGAAGTGAATAGCAAGCCCAAAGCAAAGCAAAGTGTGCTGCTTATACATTGCCCAATAGTGCTTAAAGCGCTCTCTGGGTGGTTTACAGTTTAATTATGGAAACTACATATTGCCGACCCTCCCACACAGGCCAGCTGGGCACTCAGTTTACCAAACTCGGAAGGCTGGAAGTTTGATTCAGCCTCGACCAGCTAGCTGAGTCCATCAGGATCGAATCCGGTTGTGAGCAGAGTCTTAATTGCAATTCTGCAATTTAACCACTGCACCACAAGGCAAAGAGGGCCAGGGGCAGCATTGAGCATCGGTGCAATCAAGCCATTAGCATATGTCCACACCTCATGAGGGGACCCATGTGCAAGAACCTACTCTTCCACAGCAAACGGCTTATTCGTCTTCATCCTGCTGGGGCCCAGAAGGATTGAACAATCAAATGAGCAAGCCACTGTGGTGGTAGAAAGCAGGGGTAACAGCTTTTCCCTGCCTGCTCAAAAAGTCCTCCACTCCACAAGCCAGGAGAGATGCTAAGGAAGAGGGACAACAGCAGCTGGTGACACTGCTGGCAAGGAGTAAGCGATAGAGTAGAAAGGGACCCATGGGGGGTGGGGAACACTTGATTTATCAAAGCAACAAACAATACCCAGCCCTGAAGGGAGGAATCCACAATGCGGGGACTTGGGCATGTCATTGAGTGGCCCCCCATCTCTTCCACACACACACACCTCTATTCAGCAGTGGTATCATTGAGTAGCCCCCCATCTCTTACACACACACACACACACCTCTATTCAGCAGTGGTTAGGCCTCATCTTGAGTACTGTGTCCAGTTCTGGACACTGCACTTCAAGCAGGATGCCAACAAACTGGAGTAAGTTCAGAGGAGGGCAATAAGGATGATTGGGGGACTGGAGACCAAGCCCTGTGAGGAAAGACTGGAAGAACTGGGCATGTTTATCCTGGAGAAAAGACTGAGGGGAGATCTCATAGCACTTTTCAAAGACTTGAAAGGTCATCATCCAATCATCCCAGAGTGCAGGACACATAGTAATACATGCAGAAGAGGCACATGATCTATTCTCGATCATCTCAGAGTGCAGGACACATGATAATGGGCTCAAGCTACAAGAAGGTAGATTTCTAAACTGTTAGAGCAGTAAACAGTGGAGCCAATTACCTCGACAGGTGGTGAGTGTTCCAATGCTGGAGGCATTCAAGAGAAAAAAATGAACAACCATCTGTCAGGACTGCTTTGATTTGGATTCCTGCCTTGAGCAGGAAGTTGGACTCAGTGACCTCATAGGCCCTTTCCAACTCCATTGTTCTATGAGTCTATGAACCTGAGTCCATCATTTGAGCCTTGGTCCAAAGTGGATAAGAAGCAAACATACAATGGAATGCATTAACTCTGATGCTCTTCCATTTCTCCACCAACAGCCCAACAACCCCACAGTAGTTGAATGCCGAATCGGAAAGAAACAGAATATTCCATGGATGGAAAAGCTACTCAGTTCTGATTTCTCTGAGTTGTATGAACTGGATGTTTAAACCACTGACCACAAGAGTGTTTCTTTTTTTAAAAAAATAGTACAGTATAAAAACATTGAAAATCGTATGTAAAGTTGCATCGCTTCCTCTTTCGAAATGTTTTAGGACGCTTTGTTAAATTTTAAAATCACGTTTTCAGGCAAAATCCAAAGGAATGATGAGGAGAAGGATGGTAATAGTAGTAGCAGTAATTTAAAAAATGAAAATGAAAGAAGATTTCACTCTGCATCATTTGATTCAAATAATGTAGTCAAAGAAAGAAAGAAAGAAAGAAAGAAAGAAAGAAAGAAAGAAAGAAAGAAAGAAAGAAAGAAAGAAAGAAAGAAAGAAAGAAAGAAGCAAAGCACACACGGACGAACTGGAGCTGTAAAATGGTTGGCTTTTAGGACCCTGCATACCGAAAGCTCCTGAAGAGCCCTGAAACTTCCCAACATTTTTCAGAGCCTCTTGCTTATTCATTCAGATCAGGAGCAAAGCAAAATCGTCCAGCCAACAGGGAAAGAGCAAGTAGGATAAACTAACATTCCCTGCAACAGGCATAGCAGAAATGTGAAAGGGGGGGATCAAAAACACAAAGCTAGCCAGGGAAAAACTTTCCAGGTCCTTTGGAGTTCTCCAGAACCAAATTCTTCATTGATTCTTTTCCTTCACCCGCTCAACATGCAACGTGCAAAAGACCTCCGGAGCAACTTCAAAGAAGACAGGAATGGACAGAGTTGAGACTGATCCACCTAAGGAAGAAGAGAAGGCCTGGGAGAAAGGGGAACCAGAATCTGCATCGGTGCTGGTGGCGGTGGTTCTTCTCGAGCCTGTTTTCCTCAATTTTGTCCTCCCCCAAAACACCCCTCGCGGTTCACCCCATTGATCTTGGCAATCATCATGACTGCTCATGGCTTCTTACTGGACTTGTGGGCTTTGATGGGCTTTGGTGTCTTCCTGCTGGTTCGTGGTCAGCACCCCCAAGGCGGCAACGCCGACAGTGGACGCTGGAGGCAGATGATCCAATGGGAGAACAATGGCCGACTCTACAGCCTCTTGAACTCAGGCTCGGAGTACGTCCCTCCCAGCCAGGTGAGGGCAGACAGCAGTGCCCGGGTCATGCTGGCTGATGCCGCCAGTGCCACCCAACAAGGCCGACGGGTCACAGGGAATACTCGCCGACAAGCCCCCACTTTGCCAGTCAGGGCAGGATCGGATACCGTACGAGGACAGACACGCCACCCCTTTGGCTTTGGACAAGTACCAGATAACTGGAGAGATGGGCCTACGGGAGACAGCAACTCCCAACGTCCCCGGTCACCCACCACGGCCCGTCAACGCCAGCTTGGCTCTGCCTCTTCGGCTTCCTCTTTTTCACACGCCTCTTTTGGACAACTCTATCCACAGGCTTCGCACCCTCAGCCGCCTTTCGTCAATCAGTACGAGACCTACGACGCTCAGGTCCCCCGGGCGTACGACGAAAGCTACACCTATTACCGCACCGCTGGAGGGGGTGCAGTGGCTGCAGCCGCAGCCAGTGCGGGGGTCATATACCCTTTCCAGCCCCGGGTGAGATACGAAGAATATACAGAGGATCAGAGCCCTTACAGAGCTCAAGGATACTACCCTGCCCAGGAGAGACCCTACATCCCGGTGGCTCAACAGCTTCCATCTTCTGATGGCTTAGACCGAAGGTACTCACACAGTCTCTACCACGACACTGGAACTAGCTATGACCAAAGTGTGCAGGACCCATATGCCTCTGCCCCAAACCAACCCTCCGTTGGCCAAGGGGTTCCAGTTGCAGACAACTTGCACATCAATCCTGGATCTCCTACAAATACAGGTGCCAGGTATGGGAACGAACCATGGGCGGGGCAATACCCGCCTTTCGGGGATGTGCCCGCGGAGCCCTACATCCCCCCTCGCAATGTGGAGCCTCAGCCGCCTTTCCGGCCCTTAGACCCCCATGGGGTTCCTCGGCCCGAACCCTACCTTCCCATCCGGAACGAACCTCCCCAAGCGATTCCAGACAGCCAAGGTGTTAACCAAGCCCGGGTGAGCGTGGGCAGCATCTACAGACCCAATCAGAATGGACGGGGTGAGTCACTGACAGGCCCCCTACTAGCTGATGAGAGGGGAGTTAAGGAGGAAAAGGTGCCCTGCATCGTGGGAGGGCTCACAGCAGAGAGGTTGTGCGTGGCTATAGCGCCTACCTCTGGACGTTCTGCTGATCGTAACCTCTCAGCAGTTCTTGCCAAGCTGATTTTAGGGCCTAAGGGCATTGTTTCAGAAAAACTTCTGAAACTGAAATTATATTGGGGGGGAAAGGAACCTACGGGCTAATTTCTCTTTTTTGTTGTGTTTGTTCGTATGGCGTATGTTGTCATTGCACATTGAGAAGGCATGGGTCCATCCTTCAAATTGTGGTTTAGAAGATCAGAAAATGAGCTATATGGTCAGTCCCATTTCCCAGTCCCCTCCTCACATCTGGTGTGGGGTTTCCCTTTCAACTTCCTTCTTAGCACTACTCACATTTTACCAAAACATCTGGATTGGGCAACTACGGTCTGTGCCTGCTGTCTAATGTAGAATAAGAGGTCAATAGCCAGGCCAGCATCTGTTCCACAGGCGAATGTGGACTTAGAGGTTCATATTGTCTATCAGAGGTTGCGTGTAAAGATATGAAGACTGGGGTAGCCATCTCAGAACTCATTGTTAAATGCTCCTTGCCATCTTCAGTGCATTGTCCCCATGCAATCTGCAGTAGCTCCATCCTCCACTTTAGACCTTGACTAAGGAAGTGTCCTCCAGATGTTCTGGAGTATATCAGTATGTGGGCAATGGTCAAGAGATTATGGGAGTTGTAGTCTAAAATTTCTAGTTTGCATCTTTGTGCCCAGTCTCTCTCTCTCTGTGTGTGTGTGCATATATGTGTGAGCAGACAGACAGACAGACAGACAGACAGACAGACAGACAGACAGACAGATGCTGTCCTAAGGTTACTGGGGGTACATGAGGTGGAAGTGAATATTTTTGCCTCCAACAAAGGCCGAAACAGAATCTAAACTGAATAGAGACCAGCCACAGCAAAAAATGGGCAACACAGCTTATAGAGGAAGTGGCACAAAGGACCTACCTAGGAAGAAAGATAATATGTGCCACTTGGTAGCTTGTGGAGAGGTGGGTAATAACGAAGTCCTTAAACCTGATACAGATGTGTAAAATTAGACATGCTGTAGAAAGAGTGGAGAGGGGAGAATCCATCACACCTCAACGGAACGTGACACATGGAACAGGCCAGAGAGCTAATATAATTTCAAAGCACAAAACGCAGTTCTCTCGTAAAGGCCAAAACTATGTGTATGTTACAGAGTTATAAGACTTTGCTACCTTGTTAAATACTTTCTCTAAACTACAAAATCCTTTTATTTGTATTTTTGGGAGATGCTTAGAATTCCTCGCTAGAGAGCTCTCACCCACTTCCCTGAACAACCGCAAAAAAAATTCCAAGCACCTCAACGAAGCCAAGATCCCAAGATCCCAAGATTCCTTGGCATAGCCAGTGGCTTCAAACTGCTTTAACCGCGTAGTGTAGACCCACTCTGTGTACCGACATTGGCATATGATGGACTTCCTCCTCCCAGACGCCTGTGCCTCTTGATTAGATGGTGCCATGGTGAAAAGGCACTCCTTGGGATTACGGGAAATCCCCCTGGTTTCAGAAAAAAATGTCAAAGTCCGGGCTTCTTCTTGAGAGTCCTTCCAAGCCGAACGAAAAGCCCATTTTATGAGCTTGACCCCATGTCTTCCTAGGCTGGTCCAAAAGGCTCAGGTTGAGAAGCCAAAGGGATCTACAAGAGTAAATATCTTTTTCAGCTGTTATCAGACATAATGTCAGCTTCTCTAAAAATACAACCAAACTCCTTCTCAGGATTCAGGAGCATGATTTTTCCCTCCCTGTTTTAGCTCACCTCTGGATAGGGACCGTGGGGTTGAGGAAACCTCATAAAGGGGAATCCCACTATAGACTTTAATCAATTTAGAATATACCGAAACTGCAGACAGAAGCCTCTGAAATGCAAACATTCTTCTGGGTGGCAATCGGGGTAGACAGAAGGCCTTGAAGAAATCTCTTAGTCCTGAAGCTATCTGAAGAAAACGTAGCTTTTAGGGTTGCCTGATTAGGTATCCTTTGATTTGTGTTCCTGCATGAAGCAGGGGGTTGGACTTGATAGCCTTACAGGCCCCTCTCCAACTTCACTCTTCTGCAATTCCCCAGCTGGTACTAAAACTCACCAACTTGGTGTGGTGATCTTTACCCGTGTTTGTCTAGTTGAAGTGTATCCACTTGCTGGTTCTCTTTCTCTAGTTGCCACCCTTTGATCCTGGTCCACACCGGACAGCTTGTGTATTGTGTGACTCATGAGTCCCCAAGAGATCTTCCCCTTCCTATTCCTTGGCTGCGCCACCTCTGTGACATCACAAAGGCCTGCCCTCGAGTTCTTGGCTCTGAAATCTTAGGCAATCTGATGCAGCTAAACTGATGACCTTAATAGTCCTGCTGTGATAATAACCATGATTCTGGGCAATAAATACTCCATGGGTGATGGGGATGTTTAGGATCTGCAAACCCCAACCCTCGTCTCTCCGCATCCATCAGCAGCTCTATATGGAGATTTGGGACAGGCAAACTGGGTGTGCGGATTTAGAATTTTTATGCCCCATATGCGTGTTGCGTAGCTGGATAGTTCAGTAGGGAATTTAACGCCAGTTAGCTATTTGGCTGCAGAACCAGTATGGGTGTTCAATTCCCCACTGTGCCTCCCAGGAGGAGAGCCAGCCTGGGTGGGCTTGGGCAAGCTACACAATCCCAGGATTCCCCCCGCCCCAGAAAAAGGTACTGGTAAACCATTTCTTGAGTACAGTGGTGCCTCGCATAGCGAGGTTAATCCGTTCCGGATTAACCTTCGCTATAGCGAAACATCGCTAAACGGAATTTAAAAAGCCATAGAAACGCATTGAACTTTGTTCAATGCGTTCCTATGGCTTTAAAACTCACCGTTAAGCGATGTTCTTCCATAGCGCCGCCATTTTTGCGCCCTCGGTAAGCGAGGGCAGGGCGCGAAAATGTGGCGCGGACCTTCCGGTGGCCATTTTGGAACCGCCGATCAGCTGTTCTCCCCCGCTTCGTTATGCGATATTCGCTAAGCAAATCGCTTAGCGAATATCGCAAAGCGAAAAAATGCCATAGGGGCCATCGCTGAGCGAATGCTCCAGCAATGGCCCAGAGCCCCTTGTTAAGCGATTTCATTACTCAGCGAGGTGCTCGTTAAGCGAGGCACCACTGTACTTAGAAAAACCCCAGAAAGGGTTGCCATAAATTGAAATCAACTTGGCAGCACATAATAGAAGCACCCAACGTGGTACAGTGGGTAGAGTGAAGGACCAGGACTCCAGTGACCTGGGTTCAAATTCCTGCTTGGCCATGAAAACCCATGGGGGAGGATGGACCTTATAACCCACTCTTTGAATACCTCACCTTGAAAACCCTATTATATGCAACATGATAGCGCATAACCGTGCATGCATGCATTGCAAAGATCCAGAGTTTAGTGTGTTGCAGGAAAAGCCTGCAACTGTACAACTCATACATGTGAAGGATGTATGTGGAC